GCAGCCGCGGCGACGAGCAGGCGGGGCGGGCCGGCTGCCGCGGGCGAGTGGCCGACGCGTGGGCGAGCGGCCATGTCGGGCGCGGCGCGGCGACGAGATTCCGAGGGCAGGGATGCAGCGGACGTTTTGGGTCACTCTGCCGCGGTGGGCGCCTCGAACCCAAACCGAACACGCATGTCCGTTTTCGTCCCCATTGCCACCCCAAACGGATAAAATTTGGATAAAACGGATGTCCGTTTGGGTTCGTGCGGTGGAGTTGGCCTCATGGCCGTCTCCGTCACCACGTGAAGGCGTCCGTCGCGTCCGTCATCACCTGCACCTGCCTCTCACCAAAAGCTGGAGCCGTCATATGACAAGCAAGCACCCGTATCATCAGTCTCCCCCGAGCATAATTCAGTACTTACTGCAGAGTAACAATCGTTGGAAGTAAACAACATCTGTGTCTCCGCAGTAAGTACTGAATTAGCGGTGGTAAAAAAGGCTCACTCAAAGTCTGCTGCCGCAAAAGGCACAAGCGGACATAAACATGGCGAACGCAGCTGACAGCGACCTCACTGGACAGCAACAAGATTAAGATGACGATGGAGGGAGACAATGACTTTACTCGTCTGCGCTATGCCTCTGCCGCCATGTCGGCCGGCGCGCGCGCGTCATCCTCCGTGACCGAATATCCATGGCCGCCAGCCATTGCCATTGCCATGCCACCACACTTCTTCTTCTTCAGGCTTTTGTGAACATCATCCTTTTGGCACTACCATCATCAAGCCATGCATCTATTCTTGGACGAAGCAAATTACATGACGAACCCACTCTCCACATCTTTACGAGCTCACTACCACTTCCGTGTCTGAGGCCTGAACGTGCGCATGCGCCATGAGATAAAAAAGGCAGGCAGGAGACGAAACCGTAAACTATAGTACCAATATTTGCATTGCCATAACGGGAATAAATCGTTTCTTACCACAGATCACAGTGCATGCACCAATCTTCTAGAATATTAGACTACTACTCCCTCCGTCCCGAAATATTTATCCATCAGATTGATGTATCTAACACCAAGTTAGTGCTAGATATATCCATTTAAGCAACAAATTTTGGACAAGCTTTTTTGGACGGAGGGAATATTTCTCATCATCAGAAAGCAGGCAAGAGCTAACCATATACTATATGCACAGAAGCACTGATGAATACATACATACATACATATAGCATGGACCATACAGGCATGCAGGCCGTCGTGCCTAGCTATGTTTGGAATTCTTTGCAATTCCTGATGCAACCACTGCAGAATCTGTCAGGCACCAGCGACACCATTAGGTCGTCCCAGACCTTAAAAACCCCGTTGTTCGCGTACCTCCAGTGGCTTACAACCAAGCACAGATTCAACCACCATTAATCCACTACGACCCACGATCGATCATACCCAAGCGTACGTCACACACAGGGACCATGTCTATATACAAATCCGCGGCCTCCAACTTGCAAGACAGGAAATATATAAGAGAGCACCAGCTTATCTTAACCACTTCTCAATTTCTCATACCTGTAATACTACTGCTGCTGCTATACATGTGTGTGATGCATAGTTTGTAGTGCTAGTTAAGTATGAACGGATCGGATCCCTGCTTGTTCCTGCTGGTCACTCGCGGGCACAGCCTAGAAGCGCTCAACCGTATTTTACAGCCTCACCACGGAGCACTAAGTGCAAGGTTTGGTACTACTCTGTATCTCACTTACCGAGTAAATTAGGATCAGTTGCTAATAGGGTACCCTGGCATCAGTGCAATAGTTTTTCAAGAGTTTAGACCAATAGGAAGGGATCATGCATGGTACTGGAGCAGGGAACAAGCGGTCAATTCCATAAGATTATTTGATTTAGGCCCTCTTTGATTCGCAGGATTTTCAAATCGTAGGAATAGGAAAAGTATAGGGTTAGAGTGGCATGCACACATGAATCCGACAGAATTAGGCCTCCTTTGGTTTAGAGGAATTTCATAGGAATTCTAGAGGATAGGATTTTTATAGGATTTTTTCCTTTAGAGCCCTTTGGTTCATAGGAATGGATTCCTATTCCTACATAGGATTGGTTCCTATCCTCCACATTTCATAGGAAAATAAGAAAGAGCCTAGACTCAATGGAAAAATTCCTTTGGTGTCAACCAAAATGACATCTTGTTTCCTATTCCTACTCATAGGATTTGAGATACATGTCATCTCATTTCCTACAAGATTCCTATTCCTGTGATAATCCTATCCTATGAACCAAAAGAGGCCTTAGCATGGAGTGTTTGATGGCACAGAAAAAGCAAAGAAATTGTAAAAAGAGATTGGAGTGGATGTTAGATTTCCTATGAAATGTAGTATAAAAGATTCCATAGGAAAAATTCCTATGGGATCCAATCCTATGAATCAAAGGACCAACATAGGAAAAATTCTTAAGGATTTCAATCCTCCAGAAATCCTATAAAATTCCTTTGAATCAAAGGAGCCCTTAGTGAACTGTCAGCGGCAGACCTAGGATACCCTATCCCACATCTGTTTCCTATCTAACCCCTGTGGTGTTCTTCAGAGAACCAGATACTACCACTACCACTAAGGCACTAACTAACTGCAACAGTATTAAAGCCAGCGGTCAGATGGTGGTCACCCCCACCCACAGTGCCACAACCATATATACTCTTCAACATTGGACTTCATTTCCAATTTGCATGTAACTATTTAAGATAGTAACACAGTTAAACAGCACTGTCTTGAACTGAAATTTATGGAATTTTCACATGGAAACAAACAGGTGTCCTTGAAAGATATGGCACCTCTGCAAATAATGGCCGGGTCATGAGTCATCACTCCTCAACAACAGCAACAGCCGCGGGTACCCATATAGAGGAGGCGAGCGCCGCACAGATCCTGCAACGGACCACGCCGGCTGGTCCTCCTGCATCGATGGAAATGGCAAGGATGGGCAGCCCGGAAAGACGAGTGCGTCTGAGCCAGCATCATCATGTGATTGGAAAAGGCAGAGCGGAATCGAGTGCGGCCCAAGCATGGAAGAGGAAGAATAAACAGCCCGTCGTCGTGCACTCCACCATCCCGATCGATCGATCTGACCACGCCATGAATGGCGAAGGAACAAACTCACACACAGAGGACATGCATGCATGATCAGAGTCAAGACGAAACCAAAACTTTACTAGTACTGCTACACTTGTTGCATTTTTCTTTTTTTGGTTTTCCAATGGAAAACGACCTCTCAGACTGTACACTGCTGCCACGGATGGCGGCACCGGGGTTTCACCGGTCCTCCAGCTCCTCGAATGTTTGGGTTTGAATATGACATCTTCGAATTTCCTCTCTGTTTTCCCGCTGCTTGCTGGTGCTGTTGTTGCCGTCGCGGCATCGCCGGATGGTTGACGGTTGACGGCTGATCAGCAGCTCATCGCCTCGCACTTGACCGCCATGGGCGGCCGGTCGAACCGGCCGCGGGACAGCAGCGTCCCGACCACCGCCATGTCGCGGCAGAACGCGCCCTGGAACATCGGGCTCATCGCCGCCGCGCTCAGCCTCGGCGTCGGCGGTGACGGCGGCGCGATCGTTTCCGGCTCCGCGACTTGCACCGGGATGTTCTCGCAGCGGACACGCTCTGTCTGCTTGGGGCTCTCCGGCACGGCTGCCGCTTCTTCTTCTTCTTCTTCTTGCATGGCCGCTGACGCTGCGGCTTCTTCTTCTGCTTGCTTGGTCGCCGACGCTGCGGCGGCGGCCACGGTGGCAGCCAATGCGGCGGCGGCGGCGTCCTCCCTGGCCCTCTGCCGCGCGGCGGCCTCCTCGTCCAGCACGGCGGACATGATGTGCGAGTACCCCTTCTGCAGCATCCGGTAGAGGAACAGGGCCGACATGCGCGCCTGGTCGCGCACGGCGTCCAGGTCGCGGTGCTCGTCCACCAGCTCCAGCCGCTCCGCGAACGACGCCGACCGGTCCGGCTTCAGCTTCAGCGTCAGCAGGAGGTGCGCGCGCACCACCTCCGACCGCGCGCAGCCGCGCGGGACCCCGAGGAGCGCGTAGTAGTCCACGTTGCACCCGTCGCCGGCGGCCACGCGGGCGCGGAGCTGCTGGACGCGGGCCACCAGCTCGCGGTGCGCACCGGCGATCTCGCGCTGCCGGACGCCGCCCTGCGGCCGCCAGCTCGGCCCCGGCAGCTTCCCGTCACGGAGGGCCGCGTCGTAGAGCAGCTTCAGGTGGTCCAGGTCGCGCAGGCTGTCGGGGATCGCGCCCACGGACTCGAGCAGGTCGGCGCGCGCGCGCAGCGCCGGGATGAACGCCGGGTCGAGCGCCAGCGCGCGGTTGCAGTCGGCGATGGCGTCGGCCGGCCGCCCGGACGCGCGGAACGCCGCGGCGCGGCCCACCAGGCAGGCCGTGGCGAAGGAGTGCGGGAGCACGCCGCCGCGGCGCGCGTCGAGCACCTTGTTGAAATGGCGCACGGCCTCGGCGGGGAGGCCGGCGTCCAGCGCCGCCACAGCGGCGGCGCGGCGGCGGAGCAGCAGCTTCACGTGCGCCAGCAGCTGTGACACCGAGTCCGCCTCGCTCGCCGGCGGCATCCCGGACGCCTGGCTGAACTTGCACGGCGCCCTTCTGCTGGCTGCAGGCACATTGGCCGTCGAGTTGGACGGGGAGAAGCTGTCCTCCGACCAGCACACGCTCTCGCGGCGGAACGCGGCCGTGGCGAGGCGGCGGCCGGTCTGGAGGAGCACCACGGCGTCCTCCATCAAGCCGAGATGGAAGCAAGCCTGACCCAGGACCAAGTACCTGCACACGAATTGACAATGGCAATCAGCACTGCTTGTTGCAAAGCGGCATCAATGTTCGATTTGGTAATCAAGGCAATGGCGAGTGATTCTCTTACCTCCACTGGGTCTCGGCGTCGGAGTTCTTGGATAGGCCGGCGACGACGCGGCGCTTGATCTCGGACACGTCGAAGCAGCAGAGGAACAGGGAGCCCCCGGCGCCGGAGATGGAGAGCTCGCGGCCCGGGGAAAGAAGCCCCGCGCGAGACGCGCAGGCGAGGTCGCCGGAGCCGGACGAGCAGGAGGAGGAGGAGGTGGCCGTGTCATCCCCGGCGCAGGACTTGGCGCAGCTGGGAATGTAGTCGCGGAGCATCTCGGCGACGTCGCGGTACCGGCGGAGCGCGAGCAGCGCGCGCGCCCGGAGCTCGAGCGCGGCCTCCATGCGCGGCGACATCTCCAGCACCGCGCCGACCAGCCCGAGCGCGGCCGCGGCCGCCGAGTCATCCCCGCCGTCGCCGTCCCGCGCCGCCGCGGCCGCCAGAGCCGCCCGCGCTTCGCCGATGTACCCGTTGATCACCTGCCGCGCACAACCGCCATGGAAACAAGCAGCCATCAGATCCGGGCGCCAAGGTCAGAGAATTCAAGCTCTCCCCCTCCCTCCCTCAAGCCGCCGTCAAGATTTCGGAGGAAAGAAAGACGAGTCTTTTCCATCCCTCCTCCCTCATCAGGACCAGAATGGACATTAATGAAGCAGACTCGGAAGAGAACAAAACAAGAATTGAAGGATCGTCAATGGAGGATGGACGAGACGCGGTGACGCATGGCATGCATCGCGCCATCTGGACAGCGCAGCAGGCAGAGGCCAAGGCCCGGAGTTTGACCCCTCCGCAAAGTCCAAATCGCGCCACCCCTATCCGCCGGACGGAGCAGCATTGAAGAGCACGAACCTTTCTGTTGCCGCGGCGCCACTTGTTGCTCCTCCTCGTCGGCTCCGGAGCGGGAGACGACACCGCCATGGCAGCCTCCGCGCATCAACCAACCTGCAGCCTCCGCGCACGGCAGGGGAGCGAGCTAGGCAGGGAGGAAGAGAGAGAGAGAGAGAGGAGGCGTATATATATATGGGGGTGGAGATCGGGGGAGAGGGAGGGAGGGGGGAGAGGAATCCTGTGACTTCGCTGCGCCCCGGAAATGGAGCTGAATATATACGGGAGAGAGATGGAGATTGCCAGCTGCGCTGCGCTGCGCGCCGTCGAGGTTGCTTGCTCGAGCGGACTGCTTTCTTTCCTCCTCCTTTTGTTGGATGCCTTGAGGTTCCTAGCTGGACAAGATGCCTCCACGCAGGCCTAGCTAGCTAGCTAGAGTAGATAGTAAAATAAAATAGTGACTAGTGCCCCTGCCGTGCCACGGCGCTCTGCCCTGCCCTGCCCTGCTGCCCACCACTCTCACCTTTTTTTTAAGAGGAGAGAGAGGGTCTGTGTTGCGTGTGCCCCACAGCTCAGTGATGACGGGGATTTTCTTCCTTTATGGCGAGAGATTTGCTGTGTCTAATTACCCCATTTGGCAGCGTGAAGGGGAACAGTGCCCATACGGTGTACTCGCGGCACTGTAATTGTCCGCCATCATCAGAGATCAGCGGCCGTCCACGTGGGCTAACAGCGGAATTAACCGCCGCAGAGGAGTACTACTGTCTACTAGTACTACGCCTCACGGCACCACTGCGCCAAACCTGCCAGGCGCACAGTAAACTTTCTTTTACCACGTGCTGTTAACCAGTGCCCGTACATCGCCAACAGCACCAGCAGTAGTAGTACTACTCCCCCCGTCCGGAATTACTTGTCATCAAAATGGATGAAAATGGATGTATCGCAAGTACTAATCGAAATTGCATCCGGCCATTAGCAAAAAAATCTCGTCCCCCGCGGTAAAAGAAAAATCCAATCCCCGTCATCAGTGGGCCGTGGATGGATGCGTCTTTTCTTTCCAGCTCCGGCGGCAAGCAAAAGCGCGCAGAACTGCGAAAGCATGGGCGCATTTTGAGAAGGGCGCGGTGGATGGTTGGATCGACCAATCGATCGGGTCGGGTCGGGTCACATGGCGACGGCACTGTCAGCGGCCTCTTTCCAGCGGAGCAGCCTGCCATTATCCAGCCTAACATCCGTAATAAACCACCCATGTTCGATCCCCAGCTGCCTCATCAACCCGAACTGAACCTCAGCTCCGACCCCTTTTCGTTCGCTAACGGAACGACGTCGTCGACAACAGTTTGATTAGCGGACACTCCAGCAGCAGCTGCGGTCACTGTCAGCGTCGTAATCATCATACGCCAGGCCGACGGGAAAACAAATCCTAGGCGGCATGCGTGATGCGTCCGTTACCTGCAGCAGACCGGTTACTACTACTCGCCAGCACGTTCTTGTCGTTGTTTAATTAGGACCGGCATCGAGCACCTAATGGGGTTGCCACTTATGCGGCTCACCTTACCGGAGTCAATCTGCGCTGAATTATCATCACTAATGGTTACATGATGGACGGATGGTTGGATCGGGTTAGTAGCTGTGCGCGCGTATGTGCGGGGTTGATGGAATCATCAACGGCCGGTCGGTCCGTGTCGCCGGGGAGGCGGGCACGCCGTGCGGGCGGACACCACCGGATGCTCTGGCCTGTCTTCGCACGCTACAGTGAACGTGCTTGGACAGTAACCAAAAGTACCGCCAGTACTGTTTGGACATTTTTTTTTCAACTTGCGTGGCTTGCTCATTGGGTCACAAGGTCAACCGCGCTGACATGTGGCCGTGCCTCGGTTCCCTGCGTGCTGACTTTTCTCCGCTGTGACGTGAAAATATTTCCAATATATTTTTGTTGTAGTACGTCCAGTCTGAAAAACACCTCCTTTGGTAATGTGCGTTTGAAGTGTTTGACAAAAAAACTACCACATTAGGGGTTGCTATCCCACTGAAATACCACATTCAAAAAAGTGATTGATAACTAAAAAAAAGTTAATTTTGTGACTAAAAACTACCACTTCCGGGAAAAAGCCAGTTTAGACGATTTAAATGTGTTTATGACATACGGGGCCCGTCTGTCAAGGATGACATGGCAGAAAAGTCAACTCCGTTTATTTTTTACCGTTATGATGGGTGGGGCCCACACGTCAGCATCACCTTCTTCTTCCCCCTCATCTCTCTCTCTGGAATTTTAGCAAACACCTTATGTGCACCTCTGCCCGCGGCGGAAAACTTGCCGGACCTCCCTCTCTCCGCCGGCGAGCTCCTCAGCCCCGTCACCCCCTGCCACCTCTCCTTTCCCTTCCTCCCTTCCTTCACTTCTCACGTGCGTGAGCTCGCCCTGCCATGGCGCCTCGACCTCTGCTCTGTCAGTCGTCAGAGCTCCATGCCAGCCCGCCTTCCCATCCTTCGGTCATCAATCACTCAACAACCGAGCGACGCCCGCAGCCAGACCCTCGCATCACTCCACTCCAATGCCGCCGGCCTTTGCGAACCCCATTGAGGGAGTCCTGGATTAAGGGGTACTCGGACAGCCGGACTATATACATTGGCCGGACTGTTGGGCTATGAAGATACAAGATAGAAGACTTCGTCCCGTGTCCAGATGGGACTCTCCCTTGCATGGAAGGCAATCTTGGCGATTCAGATATGAAGATTCCTTTCCTTGTAACCGACTCTGTGTAACCCTAGTCCCCTCCGGTGTCTATATAAACCGGAGGGTTTAGTCCGTAGGAAGAGAACAATCATAATCATAGGCTAGCTTCTAGGGTTTAGCCTCTACGATATCGTGGTAGATCAACTCTTGTATACTCATATCATCAAGATCAATCAAGCAGGAAGTAGGGTATTACCTCCATCGAGAGGGCCCGAACCTAGGTAAACATTGTGACCCCCGCCTCCCGTTACCATTAGCCTTAGACGCACAGTTCGGGACCCCCTACCCGAGATCCGCCGGTTTTGACACCGACAACGGGCTCTACAGCATATTGAGAGTTCCACTGCGTCGTCTTCATAAGGCTCGATGGCTCCTTCAATCATCTACAACTACGCGGTCCAGGATGAGGTCTTTCTCCCGTGACAAATCTTCGTATTCGGCGGCTTCGCACCGCGGGCCAACTCGTTTGGTCATCTGGAGCAGATCGACAGCTACGCCCCTGGCCATCAGGTCAGGTTTGGAAGCTTGAACTACACCGCCGACATCCGCGGAGACTTGGTCATCGACGGATTCGAACTGTTGACAGCCGCACCATGCAACCACGATGAACATGACTTAAATCTGTCATCGGACCATGCTCAGGAGGTAGCGCCTGTAACTATCCTGGCCTTAGATCCAGAGCAGATCGCGCCATCCGAGGATGGGAGGCTGGACCCCGCCACGGAAACCGCAGACTCAACGGCGCTAGAGTCGAACACAGATCTGACCTCCAACGAGCCATGTGTTATCGGAACCTCGGACTCGTCTCCGGCTATAGGATCCGAACCGCATGTATCCGCGCCCATCGAATCTGATTGGGTGCCGATCCTGGAGTTCAGCTCCGCGAACATCTTCTGACACTCACCCTTGGGTGATGTGTTAAACTCATTAAAATCCCTCTCCTTAACAGGAGACTCTTGGCCGAACTATGTCCGGCTTGAGTGGGAAGCGGACAATGAAGAAATTTGTTACCCACCCACCACCCACTTAATAGCCACTGTCGACGACCTGACCGACATGCTTGATTTCGACTCCGAAGACATCGACGGTATGGGCGACGATGCGGGAGAAGAACAGGAACCACCGCCCACGGGGCGCTGGACAACCATCTCCTCATATGACATATACATGGTGGGCGCATGTAAAGAAAACAATGGCGAGGACAAAAAGGATGCAGTTGAGGATAAGCCTCCTGAGAAGCAGCTGAAGCGCCGACGTCAGCGGCGCTGCTCTAAACCTCGCCATAGTAAAAACAACAATACCGACACAAGAGAAAATAACACCCCGGATGACGCCGAAGACAATGAAGACCTCGCAGACCCAGCCATGAAGCAGGACGAGCAAATAGACGGCGAACACAGTCCGGGTCCGTTGTCCGATCACAGCGATGTCGAAGATACCACTTACCAACCCGTCTCCGAATAGGAGATTAGTCTGGATGACGACGCATTCATCGTTCCGGAAAAACACTTGGAACATGAGCGCCTCCAACAGAGACTTATCGCCATCGCGAGGAGCTTGAAGAAGCAGAAGCAATGACTTAAAGCTGCACATAATACACTCAATGATAGATGGAACGAAGTGCTCGACACTGAGGAAAAATACGGCGGTGGTCGCCAAACAAAGAGCTATCCCAAATGCAAACTGCTACCCGAATTTGACGACGAGGCTATCGCGCCCACAACACCGAATCAGAACGCGGACGACCAACCAGACCGATCACCCCGTGGTCGAGACAGAGCGGCTAACAATGCCGCACACGAACCCGCACCCCCTCCCCATAAAGGAAGGGAGGTAGCAATCCAGGACCAGAAACACGATTTACGTGAGGACCTGGAGAAAAGGGCTAGCATAACCAGGTCCATCTATGGATCTAGGGAACGTGTTCCTGCACAGGATCATGGCCATCAAACCATATATGCCAGTCGATTACTAGTTCGGAACCAACACCGAACACTACAAACGTCGGACCCGTGCCACGACATAGCCAAATACAGGGGCGCCGCACACCCCCCCTGTGCGTCACCGATGAGGTGCTGGATCATGAATCTCCGGAAGGGTTTAAACCCATGAATATCGAGGCATACGACGGAACGACAGACCCTGCGGTCTGGATAGAAGACTTTATCCTCCACATCCACATGAATCGTGGAGACGATCTCCACGCCATCAAATACCTACCCCTCAAGCTAAAAGGACTAGCTCGGCACTGGCTGAAAAGCCTGCCCAAAAATTCCATTGGAAGCTGGGAAGAACTCTAGGACGCTTTCAGGGCAAATTTTCAAGGGACCTATGTCCAACCTCCGGCTGCAGACGA